GTACAGCCACCTTGTCCACCTTCTTCGCCGCAGAAAGCCAGTTTGCCTTGAACTGCTGCTCGCCCTTAGCAGTTTTTTTGGTCTTCTTTAGGTTCCGCTTGACAATAGCCCAGTATTTCTCAATTGGCCGGAGCTCTGGCGTGTTGGGAGGGTTCTTGTCCTTGGGAACCACCTGCACGTTGTTGGCGGCGTACCACTCCATGGCCTTTTTACCGTAATGGCAAGATGCCCCTTCCTTTTGCCGTATAAAACTCCTGTCCCGGAAGCTGCTTGTAGTCGGCTTTGACGTAGGTTTCGTCGTCCATTACCACGCAGTCAAACTTCGTCAGCATCGTCGTGTACAGCCTCCGGGATCGCGCTTTGGCCGTCGTATTTTGTTTATCATCGCGATTTGGAGTCACTACCTTCTTGTAAGTCGATAGTCCGGCTCGTTTTTTGGCTCGATGCACGGTTGTAGACGATACACCCAGCTTATTTGCGGCATCTCGGAGAGAGAGGTTAGGGTTTCGCTTGAAACTACCGGCAACTCTCTTTGTCGTCTCAGCGGCTTCCGGTTTTCGATTTCCCCCCGATACAGACTTCCTGGCTGTCGACAAACGTTCCCCAAACACTTTAATTACATTTGTAACGGTTGATTTGGCAACTTTTAGCGATTTTGCCAACTTTGCGTGCGAGTAGCTCGGATTTTCGCGATGCGCGAGCAAAATTTTGATACGCTGCTCTTCTTGCTTGGACGGCATTTTGTCAACTGAAGAGTGAATTCCAAAATCAAAATAGGAGCAACATTCTACACACACACACACCTTCAAAATGAGGGGTGTTCAGGTTTTTTAAATGCAAAATTGAAAGAAATACGTCAAGTTGATATTGACCAAATTTTGACCGTATCACCCTTTAGTCGGTTTCTTAGCTCATATTTAAACATGTTGACATAAATTTCGTTAACTATCAGTTCTCTCTCAACAAAATAAATATCGTCATTCATATCTGTTAAAATGGGTTCGATGCGAAGGAATTGATCATTCATAATAATATAAGAGTCATCGTAGATTAATTTTTTACATGATTCGTGTGTCCTATTCTTATATTGAATATAATTCCACTAGAATTTGTCATGAAAACGAAACTCTAAATTTAAAAACTTTACATCGTCTTTTTTTAACGGCACCGGTGGTGTAGCGTGATTACCTATCACCCCAGCAGGCCTGGGTTCAATCCCAGTCGGCGCCGCCGGCATGTTTTGAGGCATAACATCTCTGATCACGCCTTCCTTCGGATGGGAAGTAAAGCCGTTGGTCCCCGGTTCATGAGTTGATGGGTCGATAGGTAGGGTCCAGGTGTGGGAGCTGCCTTCCTGGCACGTCGGTAGCATTGGTGCTCAGCACGGAAAACAAGATCGACGGAAAAAACAAACCAAAGGAAAAAAAAATCGTCTATTTTTATGCAATTGAATCTAATAAACTTCAATCGTTCGTCATATTTTAACTTTTGTTATTTGTCTATAATGACAATTGCGATACATTATATACTTTCTTGTTATTTGTACCACTGGATGATTATTTCCAGTTCTGTACTTTAATATGGCACCATTTGCACTTTATTGACAACATTGTTTGATTTTGAATCTTGATATCAACCAATAGATGTCAAAACATTCAGATTACTAACTTTGAACTCATGATATCAAAATAATAACTAATTTAGTTTTTAATTTTTTTTTGTTTTCCTACCATAGTTTTAATAACATATTAATTATTAATTTTTTTAATTATTAACGAAATTACTAATATCAAAACGCATACAAGGATTTGTTATCAAGAAAACATGGTTTGTTATATATTTCATATCCTTCATATACCATTTAGATCTCATTTTTGTTATGATTACTGTTAACTCGACCACACGGTAGGCAAAATATGTATCACGAACGCTTATATCAAAATATCAAATTTAGTTTTCATTTTGTTTTCATTCTCTGCTCGGGTTATCACTTCGCGTCATTGGGAAGGTAATAATGGATGTTTTTGGTCGCTATTGAAAATTCAGTCAAGTGCTGAATTTTTGTATGGGCACAAATTAGAGGCATTTAGGCCGATATTACATCCATTTACCCTACATAAAAATTGACGCAATGACCGAGTACCACAAGACCTTGTCAATTAACCAGAAACACTTCAAATTAAGGAAAGGTTTTCTCCAGGATGCTGGAAAAAAGTAAAATACCTCGAATTTATATGATTGATCACTTTTTTTCACTATCTATTGAATAAATCGTGTGTTTTGTACACGAAACTGCGTGATTTGTCATCAGAAAGCGTGGCGTTTTCGTGATGGGAAAAATGGTTTCCGTAACACAGTTACTGAAAATTGATACCGAGCACGTAATTCTACGTCAAATCTGCGGTCGTGTCATGGATACAACCTCTTACTTTAAAAAAAATGAAAACTATTGCCTCAAATCGAAATTTCTGTTAATCGATCCTAAAATAGAAAGAATGATGCTAGCACTCATTCCATCGTAGGGTAACTGATGATGGTTGGACCTATTTAGGCCGGTTTCACACGACGCCAACATTCATGTCGTATTTTTTTCATGAATTCAAGTAGATTGATTTGGTGAAGCTCTATTTCTAAGGGAAATCAGGGGGTCATATGTCAACCTCAAAAATACATCTTCAATATTAACAACCCTATTGAACTTTCGCGCGTGAAATTTTCGAAATTTTCTAATCGACTGTCGCTCCATGAATCAATAATTTATGGACCGTTGGCGACTGCGGATACCATCCATATTTAATAACATATAACCTACGCGTTTCTTCTGCGTAAGAATGGTATGCTTTGTAGTTGATTTGCTTACGGCATTTCACGATCATCAAAATCACATGCATGCGCTCCATTATATCTCTGTCTAACCCTGTGATTTCGCATATCACATTGAATTGTTGGAAAAATTTTATGGCGGTATTCCCGTCGTTGGAGTTTCCACCTCCAGGCACCGGTTCACCTATCCGAAGCCCCAGCCGATTTCTTATTTCTGTAGCAATATACTTTTCCCTGTATTTTACTGCGGCGTTAGTTTTAGAGACCCACCAATCTTGCTTCCACAAATTCAACCAGGTAATTTAATGTCCCTTTCAATATTAGGATACCCGCTAAGGCTTTATATGCAATTTCCAGTTGCAATTGTGCAGAAATTTTCACAAATCGAACTAATAACAATAACCTCGTGTTTTGTAGCCAGCCTGCTATGCTAAACTCGTGCTGAAACCACTGACATAAGCAGACAACTATTTAACTGTTGTTTAAACCCGAACATTGCATTAGGTCCAATGTAACATAGAAAGATTCTCTTCGTCGATTTTCTCTTTGCTTCCTTACAGCGATGTTAAGTCATTTTTAGCTGTTTACAACGCGCAGTGCGATAAAAGTAGCTATTATCTACCATCTCATACCAAAAACAGGACAAGTAACGGTTTTGTAGCCAAGTTATTAACAATAGAGAAAGCCGACGAAGAGAATCTGTCAATGTTACATTGGACCTAATGCAATGTTCGAGTTGATTTACGTTGCATTGGAAACGCACGTAAAAAAGCATGTACCGTTAATATGACCGCATTAAATCTGAACACTTTTCAGTTTGACCTTGCTCCAACGTCATTCAGCGTATAGAATGAAGAAAACCAAGTAGGAAACAGATCGCAGAACATAACGAAAGAAGAACATAAGCTTATTATCGGAACGCTCTTTCGGAGCACTGATAGTGTTATATTATAAATAACCTGAATTCAGACGAGAGAAGAAGGAGAAGAAGAACAAGACGAGACAAAAGGAAAAAAGTACACAAAGCAAAGGATTAGAATTAATGCATTAAAATTTGCCGTTTAATTGGTCATCTGAAAACTATTTTTTGACTGTTTTCGGTTAATTTTCAATTTTACATAAAAGGGCATTAGAAAGACTTTTGTAGTTTAGCAAGACACACGTTTTTCTTTTAAAATATCGTTTCTTCCTCTATTTTAGAAGGAGTTATTACTAAATTTAATTGCACAAGTGACTGAACTTAAATAAGTTTAACTTAAGATAAAGAAAAACATATCTCCAGTTTTCCCATATAATATACACTAAATTATGCCCTTTCAAAAGATGGCTTAAAAATGTATGTACGTTTGCCCCATTTTGAGTGGTTGACATTTGAAAAGGGCCTATTTTGTATAGAAAATCTTCAATATCTTTGCATGTATTTGCATGTTGTGTATTTTGACGAGTTCTAAAAGTTCTTTGAAAACAGTTTTTACGAAAAAATTTAAATAAAAAAGTTAGAGTTGAAAAACTGATGTTTTTGGGTGCACCCTAACGCAGTTCAGAAAAAAATTCTCCAAAATGAAAACGGTAAGAGATACAAAAAAACTTTTTTCAACAAAGTTGCTTGAAATTAATTCACCAACAACTTTATTGAAGGATCATCCTAATGTTTGAAGGCACCATAAGAGGATAATTTGAAGAAGAAAAACTTCACTGAAGACACCAAGTGCCTAAATCCTAAAACAAAAGTACTATGGACTTTGGTCTTGCTAAATTCCAATCCTGGACCACTGTGCACTGAAGATTCACCAGGGTGCGCACTTGGCTGTCGAAGGCAATAAATAGATAATTGAAAGTGTAACAGTGGAACCGGAACGTCCAACAATCGAAACAACAATCCAACCTCACAAAAACACAACGTAGGGCCACATCCTGACCGAAACCGATTGTTAACTTTCCTTAACAATGTATCAATGCATTGAGATTCTGACAGAGTCGAATTTCGTGACAATAGGATACGTTTGGTGAACGCTATTGGCAATTATTCATAGTTACACATCCGTTGTAAAAGAACAATAAAACTCATCAATGTTTCTTGGATTAACTTCACAGTTTCAATTAAAGCATATCTCATCGGATTTCACACTAGCAGTTAATCGGATATCATTTCTCTGTTCGATCCCCTTTCTTTCCAGACGGTTACATAATAGGCAACTATCTGCACGCGTCCGAACAGGACATACGGGACTTTTTCTGGACCGGTTCGGGCGATGGGCCCTCGGCACTTAATCCCTTTGACCGGTTTCCAATCAGTGAAGATGCAATCATTAAGACGGCAACCGTTGTGGCCACGGTGTACATCGACCGAAGCAATGGCGGGACTGGCGGTGGAGGAGATGAGCTGTGCATCTTCGATTGTCCTCCGGGCGATGTGGACCAGACGATTGATAACGTTACTCCGACGGATCGGAGGTTCTGGCTGATGACGGTCATTGGAGGCCTGTTCGGCAAGAAGGATTATCCGGAACTGGAAGGCAAACTGGCCAAACTGTACCGGGTGGCTTTTACCAGGTAGGTTGCATTTACTAGTCTTTTTTTTTGTCATCGGTGAATGGTCTATTCTTTCCGGGAATAGTTGCTTGATTAGAGCATAGTATAATCCGACTGCCATGGGAATCTACATGGGTGTGTGTAGAAGTTTTGAGTTCCATCACATCACCCAAACAAATTCTAGCTTCACCCCATAGCAGAAGACATTCAACTGAACAAGAAAGACAATTTCCTGGCTAACAGTTTCCAATTTCCAGACAACAAGCATTACATCTCGGTATCAACAACAACACACTTCACATGCAATCGTCACCAGCGAGAGAAGAGGAAACTGCCACTAAGTATCGAATCAGAAGAAGCATTCCATCGAGTCGTCCCCAGGAACTCAGGACGAGCGACCGTGGCCGAGTGGTAGGGGTGAGCTTCGCCGATGGGAGGAATCGGACGTCAACAATGACGGTAGTAGCATCAAGTGGCAAACGTAAGCCGCCCGAAGGTAGGAATGTTCTAGTGAATGACCAGGTCTACAAGTATGAACGATACCGGAGAAGGCGTAGGAAAAAGGTGCACAAACGAGATACGGACGATGGATCCGGCGATGGGGGCGCCGGTCAGCAGGTGGTGGTCGTATCCGAGCAGGGCCTCGCTGAGAACGAGCACATCCAGAAGCTTCAGCAGTGAGTTGAAAGGTTTTCTGAAATAAAATTTCCATTGCTTGAACCGATTTATGGCACGGTTCACCAGTCATTCGAAATGATGAATTCAATCCCGCATCAATCGTTTTGTAGAGCTCCCGACAATGGCGATGGAACGACACCACTTACACGTTATTATGACAAGGATGCCTACTCGAGCAGTAGCGGCGGCAGTGGCGGCAACAGCAAGCGTCAAGTACGTATTTTGATACACAATACCACCCACTTGCGGGAGGGCGACAGCGACGAGGACTCATCGGCAGATGCCGCAGACTCGGCTGGATCAAAGTGAGTATCGAGATTTCTGTTTTTTCCCTCCTCCCGTTGCCACAGAGAAGTAGCTAGAGCGAGATCATGGCCAAAAGTCTCAAAGTAAAATTTGTGATTTTTTATGTTACTATATTTTTTAAACATGACTTCTTATATATTGTGGTTAATGCTTATTAATCATTAGATAATGATCTCCAAATTTATATGATACCTTTTCAAGAAACATAGAAACGTTGATGTTTGTTCACATCAACCGATACTGTGTGGTTGCGGTACAAGCACATATCGTCGGTAATAGACGATTGTTGTGTATTGAGAACGCTTGCGCAAAAAGACTAAGGGAGGGAAACGGATTCGAAACTCATATGTCATTAGCCAAATACATCCGTAGACCATAGGTCCACCGTTGTATAATTGGCAATGCACCCGTGTACTGAATGGGAATTGTGGGTTCGAATCCCACCGGTGCCCTTAGATTTTTTCGCAAATTTTCTCACACGCACGTCTCTTGCCGATGATATGTGCTAACCTCTCAGTATCTTCTAACTGTCGCATATAACAAATAAAAAATTGACTTTCAGTCGCTAACCTAAATCATAGAACCAACATTTCAAAAAATCCTATCTTCTTTGATCGATTCTCTTCATCATTGTTTCTTTTGATACCCACTGCTATGCAGCCGGATTTTGCGCTATTTTTACCACATAGTTTGATAAACGAGATTTTTATCTAGCGTCAAAAACGTCAAATACAACAGGAAAAGGCTTTGAGGTTAAGTTATTAACGAGAGAGAAAGTCGATGAAGAGACTCGAGCAAAGCAGATGGGACCTTTTGAAATGTTTATCTACAAATGATCTATGAACAAATGAAACTTATAGTTGTTATGAGCACATTAGTGGACAGAACTCATCCTGGCTAGTCCGGACTGGTATTTGGGAGCAGTTTGAATACTGTTTGTTTTCATCATTTTGGTATAAATTTGACAAATTTTGGTAATCTTTGATTTGATTGATTTGTTTTTAGTTTCAGTTTGATTTAAAATCCACAATTACTACATTTTACATCATACAAGTGTATAATATCACTCCAGCAGTTGTTAATAATTTTGGCCAGGTTTTTGTCGTAGATACTCCTCTGTGCGCTGCTTGTTTGACTTTCAAGTGGGTAGTTAGGTGGGAGTGACGTGGGTTGTGTGGGAAGGGACACTGCAGGTGGACGGCTGGGTTGTATAGATTTGAAATATTGTTACTTAAGCTATGATTGAAAAAACATTATGTATGATTCTCTTACAGTTTTTCATTAAATATATGAGTAATTCCAGCTTAAGTGTATACCAAATTTTCGGAAACCGTGGCATTGTCACCTATTTTAGCCAAACTTGGTCAAAATGCTTATTTTGAGATTCTGAGAAATATTTTTTTCGGATTTTTGAATAGACATTATTCTGCATCCAAACAAGTTCTTTGTGTTCTTGGTCCTCCATTTTCAATGCTGAATCTAATAATATGATTAATGCCTAAAATCGGTTATCAGGTCCATTTGGATTTTTGTCAATTTTGAGATAACAAATTTATCCACTATCAATTGGCATCTACTTTCATAAATCATGGCCCACTTAGTAATGGATCAAACTCTTTTGCTGCGCTCCTAGTGGTCGTTTTCGGAAGCTTTTGACGTATATGTGTTGACAACATCAATGACAATAACAGTGTGTTTTTTTAGTTCATAAAGCGCTCTTATTTTGGAGACAGTAACCATGCAAGAGAAACCTAGAAAAAAAATCGTGCTCGTACGTAAAGACTGGAACGCACAAAAATTGGTCGACAAAAAAATCGTTCCTTTCACTCAAAATTCATTTCACAAAAATCTTCTTATTTTTCTTTTCGTAGTTCAATTAATATATTTAAAGGAAAAAATGTTAATTTATTCTTTTGGTTTGCCAAATCCGAACTGCCGTGCCTTCAACTTAACCCCTTCCATTAAATTTTGCACAGTGGTCTCATCCGAGGGGGGCGAAACATCTAAATCTCAATTCTAGATGCTCAAAAAATCTCACACTAGTGAATAAATTTTCGAAAAATCTTCTTTCATTTCTCGCATCTACTTGCATCGCGTATCATCTTTTTGCAGGAAATCTTCAAAATCGTGATAAATCTTCTTTCTATCTACTCAGCGTACGCGCAGTTAGCCACAGCAAAATACAATATTTCCTGCATCGTAGATAGAGTCGTCCCCCTCGGTCTCATCGACCTTTTTTTTTTCCTTGTCGGGTATTTTCATCACTGCGACCATTTTTCTGATCTATTGTGATATATTCCCCATTTTTTTTTCTTTAGCTATATCAAGATGCCGTATCACTATTATTAGGAGTGATCGCCATCGTTTGACTAATAGCATTATCCCAGCACGGCATTATACTTCGAATAAAGTGCACTGCCGTACTGGGAGTTGTTCTCCAAATGTCAAAGGGTTCTATCAACCCCTTGTCGAAGAACTTACGCCTTTTATTGAAAATTGCCGGACAGTGGCATAGCAAATGTTCCGAGTCTTCCTTTTCTATGCCACAGAAGCGACATACATCATCTTGAAGTTTTCCAATCAGCTTCAAGTGATAACGGCTCGGACAATGACCTGTTATAAGACCTGCATATATACTAAGATCTTTCTTAGAAAGTTCCAGGATTTTGTGGGTCACAGAAATGTTTGGATTAATAAATCGCTTCGACTGCCTAGCAATGGAAGTGTTCTTCCAGTTTTCCTCCACTTTTGAAGATTCCCACGCTTTTAGCTCCATTCTAAGAGATGCAGCCGATAAGCCACAAAAGGGCTCTGGCCCGATGAACTTATGAGAAGATCCGAGTCTTGCTAGTGCATCAGCTCTTTCATTTCCCTCAATCCCGCAATGACCAGGAACCCAATATAAGTTGACTTGATTATGACAAGACAATTTTTGAAGTGATTGAACACACTCCCAGACAAGTTTTGATGTACATGTCGCCGACTTTAAAGCATTTAGAGCAGCTTGACTGTCGGACATGACGCATATATTTGAACTCTTATAGTTTCTACGCAAACATATAACGGAACACTCTAAAATTGCTTGGATTTCAGCTTGGAACACAGTTGGCCATCTGCCCATAGGAACCGATATTTCTATCCCTGGGCCAGTTACTCCTGCTCCCACTTGATTGTTCAATCTTGAACTATCTGTATAAAAAACAATCGATCCTGGACGAAGAACCGGGCCACCAAATTGCCATGAATTACGCCCAGGGTCAACTACTCGAAAAAGTCGATTGAAGTTGTATCTTTTCTCCATCCAGTCTTCGTTGTTCCTTACTAGAGAGTTGATACTAACAGTTTTTAGAATCGTAAGATGTCCTCTAAGGTCTCCTTCAAAGAGTTTCACTGACCTTGTAATCCTTAGAGCACACTTTTCGGCTTCTAATTGTATAAATTGATGCAATGGTAGCATATAAAGCAAAGCATCCAATGCCTTCGATGGTGTACTTCTCATTGCACCTGTTATTGAGAGAGTTGCTAACCTTTGGAGTTTTTCTAACTTTCTCTGAACAACACTCTCTTTTGTTTTTGGCCACCAGACCAATGCACCATAAGTAATCCTGGGTTTCACAATTGCCGAGTAAATCCAATGGATCATTTTCGGTTTCAGTCCCCACTGTTTACCGAATGTTCTTTTGCATAACCATAGAGCATTAGTAGCTTTGTTTATTGCCTGCTCTAGGTGCATATTTCAATTAAGTTTACTATCGAGGATTACTCCAAGATATTTGACAGCATTAGAAAGTTCCAAAAGTGTGCCTTTCAACCTTATGTTGTCTAATGAAAATTTCTTCCTTCGGGTAAATGGCACGATAGTAGTTTTAGAAGGATTTATGTTTAATCCTTCCCTATCACACCACGATGAGACAAAATTTAAAGCCATTTGCATTCTGTTAGCGATAATACAATCATATTTGCCACGTACAATTATGACTATATCATCTGCGAAGCCAATTATTTCGAAGCCATGGGCTATTAAATTGTTGAGAAGATCATCAACTATTAAAGACCACAATAGAGGTGATAACACGCCTCCTTGCGGGCATCCTTTGGTTGCTCTTACACTGATGAGTGAGCTTCCAAGGTTTGCTGATATTTCTCTTTTTGATAACATTTCATTGATCCAATTTACAATGCTTTGATCGAAACCACGTTTCATCATAGCTGTAGTCATTGAATCGTGAGATGAATTATCGAATGCACCTTCAATGTCATCGACCTTATTCGCCTCCGAACGCCAGTTAGATTTAAACTGCTGCTCGTTTTCCATGGATTTATTAGTTTTTTTTTTAGATTTCGTTTGACCAAAGCCCAATACCGTTCGATATGGCGGAGTTCTGGGCTGTTGGGAGGATTGGGGTCTTTGGGTACCACAACCACGTTGTTCGCATCATACCACTCGATTGCCTTTTTCCCATAGTGGCAGCTCGCCAAGTCCGGCCAGAACAGCACAGGTCTATTATGATGCTTTAGGAATGGTAGCAGCTGCTTTTACAGACACTCCTGGACGTAGATCTCTTGATTGATGGTTCCCATAGTAATGAAAATTTGGTTTTAGACACATGCATATGGCCTGCCAGACGAGATATTTTTTCGGGAACTTCGATAGTGTGATGGTTTTGAAAATTTTAGCCACCTGGTATAAAACTCCTGTCCCGGAAGCTGCTTGAAATCCGCCTTCACATATGTTTCGTCGTCCATGACGACACAGTCGAACTTTGTGAGCAGATTCGTAACAGCTTTCGGGTTTTGTTTTATGCATTTTAACAGAAATACACTGTGTGGTATACATTACTAATACATCGTATTCAGTGTGATGTGTGCTGAACTCTGATTTTTACGCCTGGCATTTTAGGGAATTGGTCCACAATGCTGGGCGTTTCGCAGTTGTTGATCGCGTTTCCAACCTGTAGCAGACCTTTGTCGCTAGCCGTAGATCGCCCAAGGATTGATC